ATTCTAAGAAAAAAATTCCTCCAGACCATAGCTCTAAAGTCAATTTCGAGCCTGCGCATTTTTAAAAGAAGATATCTTATATATAAAATTGGATTGCTGTCAGTTAGCCTCGCTAAGACTTGAAAACATCTTGACCGATTTGAATATTTTTACTTTTTTGGTTTGTTTTTTATAATATCCGGGTTGTTAAAACCAGAAAAAATAGAGTTGCCACCTGTTTAAAAATCCCAATATAAGTAAATTAATTACATAAATTAGATATTGCAATATGGGTGTCAAAAGAAAGAGGTTATGAAGGCTTACAGGCAAAAATATTTTTGCGGGGGGTTGCCACCTGTTTCAAAATTTAGTTAAATAAAATTGATAAGATAAATTAAATATTGCAATATGGGTATCAAATTAAAAGGGTTTAAGAAGGCTTACTACTGAAAATATTTTTGAGTCGAGTTGCCACCAATTTCGAAAATTTAATTCAATTAAGTTAATAAGATAAAGTATGTATTATAATATAGGTGTCGAGCGAAAAGTATTTGAAAAATTATTGATTAAGAAATATTTTCTATAGGCCTGCCACCTACCTGAGCGGTAAAAACTAAAAGCCATACTCGCAAATATTGTTCAAAACTTTTGAGGCTCGCATCAATGTGGAATACTGTAACTCCGTCAAGATAGTGTTTATTGATGGCAAACAAAGTACTATCATGTTTGGCAATGATATCACCCCATCGAACAATGCACTCAGCCTCGATATAAAAAGAGAACAAAAGCCGAAGTATTAGCCGAAGCAGTTCATACAAATGTTCCACAATTGAACTAACGAAAAAATATGGCCTACGACTCTTTTATAGAAGCTGTGGACACTGGAGTAAATTTAAACAAAAAAACAAAACCGTCTTCACTTCTCATATACAAATTTAAAAGAACCGTTATTTTCTTCATGGCCCAATTATCGGATCTACACTCAATTAGTAGGAGACTACCTCTGAGGAACCACCTTTCCTTTCAAAAAGAATTATAGAAAACGGATAACGTAGTAAAAAGTTACGCGGTAACATACATAAAAACATATTCCGACGAATTGATAAAATATGCAGATTAATATTTAATGAAGTGTTACGGATATATTTTTTTTAATACAAACCTGTGCTTGGGAGCTTATTGATACGAAAAATTAATTTCTGATATCTATTTTTTATTTAAAGAACCGCAAGATTGCACTACAAAGCAAATTGCATATTTTTTACTATTGTAACGGGAGAAGTTACTGTATGTATTTTTTGATATGTACAGTGTCGAACAAAAGTTTTGGCACAGTAAATTTTCGCATTACATATATGCAAAATTTTTAATTTATTTCCGATAATTTTTTATAAAAACATAGTTCATACTACACTAAAACACATACAAATCAAATGTGTAAACTTTGTGAAAAACTCAGGAAAATTCAATAAATCTGCATACTAATTTGCAATTTTATATTCAGATTTTCAAGCAACTTCAAACCTGCACTTTGATAAACTAAAATTGAATGGATTATTAAACTGCATACTTGGAATTTTTCTAAGAAATACTTTGCCTATATTGCGTAAAACTTACTGTGCCAATACTTTTGTTCGTTACTGTAAGTTTAAGGGTTTATTTACCCTTAACTTTAAAAAGCCAAAAAAAAATTTACAATATTTTAAAATTATTTTTCGAATCATAAATTTTTTTATGATTAACAATGTATTTATATTTTTTTTTGGTTTTAGATCCTTTTTGCTTTCAAGACGAGGTATCTTTTTTCTAGTTTCTATTGTCATGGCCATAACTCACTCTCTATTTTTATCAATCAATCAATCAATGAATCAATTTATAATTTTTTTCGGCATTTTTCCTAATTACAAGTAGAGCTTTATAAAACTTTTATAACACCAAATGTTTATCAAGCTTGGGATTTTATGTTATCCGGGCAGGCTTATTAATTTAGCCAGAGAATATGTTTTCTTTATTAAGTTTACCCAGTTCCCCATTTTAAACTGCTACCTGTACTGTATCAGCGGTTAAAACTTGTTAAATTTTTATTTAAAATTTTCGGGAAGGAATAAGCGAGTGGATGAAAAATATATAAACCGTAAGAACGGCCCATATATATGTATATGAAAGAATACTCACATGCGACGACTCTAGCCATTGTGTGTCATTCCTTTAAATTATAGTTATTTTTATACCCGAGCGCACTTGTGCACAAGGGTATTATAACTTTGTTGACATAACGGTTGTTTGTAACAGGCAAAACGAATCGAGATAGATATAGACAAATGCATACATAAATGATCAGGATGAAAAGAGAAATCGATTAAGCGGTGACTGTCTGTCCGTCCGTCCGTCCGTCCGTCCGTCCGTCTGTGCACACGATAACTCGAGTAAAAATTAAGATATCTTAACGAAACTTGGTACGTGTACTTCTTTCAGGCGTAGGACGGATGGTATTGAAAATGGGCATAATCGGACAATAACCACGCCTACCTCCCATATAACGGTAATTTTCAG